CACTCGACACAAACTAGGTCATTTCAGGACTAACATATGGTTTAATTGTTTTTTATTTCAATAATTCCCTTGCGCGTAGGGGTCTTTAGCAGTGGGAGGAAATCGGAGGACCCGGAGAAAACCCACGAGGTTGGACAGGCGACCCTACTCCTTGTCACGTACAACCGGGGAATCGAAACCCCGCCAGTTGATTCAATGTCAGACCGTATGATACAGACCGTATTACCCCCCCCCCCCCCTATGAAACCACGGTCAAAAGTAACAAGAGTGGCCAAACAAAGGGCACTGTATATCGACAAAAGTCCGATACGTATAATATAGAGAGCTATTTTTCAAAGTGGCAATATTTGAACTAAGGGTGTTCTACTGTTAACCAATATCTGGCACTGGTACTTCTAACAGTTGCTCCTGGAATTAATATCCCAGTTTTTTTTTTTTGTGTACATGACGTCATCTCTTTATACCATTTAAAATAACGCTCCCTGCTGCAGCTATTGCTGTATTCGTTACTCCTCGGTTTTATGGAAAATACGACTAACGAATTGATAAATAGCGTTCGTAACTACAAAAACTGGCTCGAAAGTCGTGATTTCTACTGGAGAACTGGGGTAGCTAAAATTATATCGAGTTCACGACATATGACGTAACAATATGGCAGCCAAAGTTACAAAGTTGACCGTTTTGAACGGTAAATTACTATTTTTGTAGTTATATGTTTGCTTTGGATGTGCATATCGATCTGAATACGTGATTTATAGAATTTTACATATTGGGATACATTTTCTGAACAATGGCAAGAAACACATTAAACAGAAAACGAGAAAAATACCCGGCTTTCCATTTTGTACTAACTTGTTATTGTACCGTGTGGCAGTTCAGGTTTTAGGACATTGTGGACTATATCAACAAAAATGTTCCAGTAACTGTGGGTTAACACCCACTCGACACAAACTACGTCTTTTCGGTATTAACGTTTTACGTTTCTTTGAATTTCAAATGTCTACATACCGTAACAATTAATTAGATCAATACACAAAAAAAACATACTTATGGAAAAACAGCTACTTATTTATTTGGGCGACGTTTCGAAGAGTATTCTCTCAACGTTATCAAGCTAATACAGTAATACAAGAATTATGAGATCAATATATACAGAAAACTGTAACAACAATTCATGAAACCATACAGGACAACAACAAGATCAAAGGGGTTTATTCTACAAAAAACTAATTAAGTGTGAAGAGTAGCCATTGAGTATAGTTAAGCAATTAGGTAGCTATGATGATAGATACAATACTACCGACAGAATGGGATAGTACCTACAATACAATTATGATATGCCGAACGATGATAAATTTTCAATTCATCATATCTTTGTAAATACTGAACCGAACTGAAACGTCTTTGGACTGATATTCCTTTTAACGATTTAAATTTCACAAATAGTGATTATAGGGATATTAATACTCCTTGAATGGATAATGACAGCGGGCCATGTTGATTTTCCCACTTGTGCACCCGAACACGACAAGTGTGGTATTTACTATTTCCTAGTGGGAAACACGATATTTCCAAGCGGTAACGTACACAGCACTATTTATAAGGAAGTCGCCCCTATAGATAATTAAAGAAAAAGTAAATGTTGATAATTATGATTTAGGGTTTTAGTTGTTATCTGAGAATTAAAAGACTGTTTTTGTCCCATTCGGAAAACTGTTTTTTTTTTATTCCATTTACAATTCGTGTAGATCTCTGAAACTAACAGATAGAGTTCTTAATACTGATTTTTCCCTTGTTTTTAGCAATTATTACTTATAACTATCGCGAAATTTGTGAACAGACCGGAAGTGTTGTAAATCTTTAACGTGCACGAAAATTGAAAACCGACCCTAAGTATGTCAATTCCCAACCGATGTTCGAAAAAGTTATATTTTTGTACAGCTGGGGTTATTGCGGATGCGATAACGGCCGAATTGAGATACCATGTCGTTCTCATTTTTTCTTCAAAATTTGAAAATTTACTAAAATTGTTATTTCTTGGAATGTTTAGTTTTCGATTACATATTTGGATTGCCGGCGTCTGTCCGATTCTACCAATCAAAGATTATCATGCTGTGAATTGTTCAACTATATTTTTCACTTTCCTTCTATCGTAATGCGCATGCAAATAACGTGTAAATATCTGAATTATGCAAATGTGTGTATTTATTTAGTCGGTGGGGAAGTGGTGGGAATAGTCTTTTGTCATGCATCTTGCGACCGTGTGACGCCTTGGCTAGGGTGAAAGCCTTCAGTCTTGCAAGCAAGTCTAGTTATCACGGTTATTTGTTTACATTTGTCATGTATTATAAGATCCATGCTTTTGTTAGATGTCATGCAGCCACTTGTCAGTGGATTGGCGTTCTAGTCTAGGCCTTTAAAGAAACATTAGTTGTCATAATGTGTTTAGTTTAATCCTTTTAAAAGGGACATCGCATACAATTGTCATATTTCGTCATATACAATTGGCGGTAGTTTTTACTTTGATGTCCATAGCAGTTATATCTCATAATAAACTTCAATAATCCTTCCAAGAGGCCATAATCCTCTTGGCAAAGTATCCTCAATGAAAAGCACAAGGTCATTCACTTTAAGCGGAGGATAGTCGACTTTCCACTTGTTCCGTAAACTTAGGCTAGGTAAATATTCTTTGCGGAATTGATTTACGACATGATTGGCAATTACTTGAACCCGTCTCCAGCGTCGTCTGCTGTTGACTTCTTTGTCTTCTACGTGACTTGGTGAAGTGCTGTAATCGGCTCTGCCTATCAAGAAGTGATTAGGAGTCAATGCGGTAAAATCGTTTGGGTAGGAACTGTTGTGAGAGGTCTACTGTTTAAAGCTGCTTCCACTTCGATCAGGACGGTGCGAAAGACAACATCAGGAACCGGATTGGTGCCTATTACTGTATAAAGAGCAGCCTTAGTGGAGCGGACTAACCTCTCCCAGGCACCACCGAAGTGCGGGCTGAGAGGGGGATTTGAAGTGCCACTCAATTCCTTGAGGAGCTAGGTACTCTCCAATGCGTTGATTAATATCTTGCAAGGCTTTCTTTAACTCGTTGTTGGCGCCTACAAAGTTTGTCCCATTATCGCTGTATATGTGCTTCGGGTGACCTCGCCTGCCTATGAAGTTGCGAAACACGAGGATGAAGTCGTTGGTCTCTAATGATACTGCCAATTCAAGATGTATGTCCCTTGTACACATGCAGGTGAAAAAACAACCCCATCGCTTTACTGTTCTACGACCAACTGTTGAATACATGGGGCCAAAGTAGTCAAGCCATGTGTGGTAAAATGGACCAGAGTAGTCTTTCCTACATCTTGGAAGGTATGCCATTCTTGGCACCTTTGGAGAAGCTCGCCGTTTTTACAGAGGAAACACTGACGGATGATTTTCTTAGCCGTTTGTCTAATCTGTGCAACCATATGCTCCACACCGACGTGTGATTTAGGTAAGATAATCTGATTCCAAGTATCACGTGGAACGTTAGCCTTTCGTAGCCTTCCTTGAAGACGAAGGTGGTGCTCATCATAGCTAGGTGTCAGGGGAAGAAGAGTGCAATACTCTTATTTTTTTTTATTGTAAAATTTGTCTCTTCATGGGCCATATCTATGGGTTGTTTTTTTTTAAATCAATACTAATTCGTCGTCACGATTCATGTTTGTTTATATTAATGCAAGAATTATGGGATTTATTGCGGGAAGGGGCGCAACTCCTACTTGACTCGGCCAGAAGATACTGGCTAATCAACCACATTAAAAACCAAACCCCCGGTTACGCATGGGCAATGGACTTTTCGTCAAATATTGACAACGGTTCCAGACCCTCCGTACGTTGAAGACTATGAGGTTTTGGGTAACCGAGACTGACCCTTCTTTATTTCTTTGTTATACAAGTGTCAATCAGGCGGTACCTCGTGGTTGAGGCTATCTCAAGGCAGCCGTAGAAACCGTTGGTCACAGAGTGCTAGTCAAGCAAATAAAATATTTTAGCAGGAATTTAAAGACATTTACATCTTTCCGTGAATTTTATTACGAATGACAAGTGCCTTATGAAGTATATATGTGGTCTTTGGTGAAAGAAAACAATGGTGTAGCTATCATTCCTTGTTTTGAACGACAGATATGATTGGGCTTCATAACTTCCGGTTTTACGGATGTCCTTCGTATATATTTTTTCACATTCAAGCCTGGTTTACATATCATCTACAATGTCATGTTTATCTATAAATAGTGGATTTTAATGCGTCAATTCATTGTTCATATTTGAAGGCAAACAAATACAGGGCGAATTTGTGTCCTCATTAAATTTGACCAAATAATTATAGAAGTGCGTAATTATTACTGATGAAAACGGACATCCGGGTGGCAGTGCCGGACTGGGCCCACCTGTCCACCTGTCCGGTGCCTAAGCTCATTAAAAAAAAGTGGGCCTAAGCCTATAAAGAAAAAAGAAAAAAGAGAAAGAAAAAAGAAAGGAGAGGGGAGAAAAGAAAGAATGAAGGAGAGGAGAAAGAAAAGATAGGGAAAAAAAATGACAAACACAAAAAAAGAAGTGTACTAGAATTCTCAAATTCATCTAATGATAGTGCTCTTAGGTCATTTTGTTATCTAATTGTATCAGGAAATCAAACATTTGCCTTCTGCTTTGGTCTGAAAAGCTTGGAAAATGGGTTTGCGGTTGTCAATTTTCAAAATTTTCCTGCGGGGAGAGCCCCAAAGACCCCCCTCTGACCGCGCTCTTGACACGCCTTCGGCGGGTACTTGCGTGGGCCTTGGTCAATGACCTGACAGGTGGGTCTTCGGCCCACCAGTCCGGCACTGGCGAGTGGGTCATGAGAAACGGACAATTAATAAACCACGGCTCAATACATCATACACAGGAAACTATTATTAGACTTTAAATTTCCTAACTTAGAAGTGGATGTAAACACTTGATAATTTGAAGAAGGAAATTCATTAATTAGTAGAAGTTTTATTTTCAAAAGGTTAATCTACTAATGTGTCATATTACATTGTATACATTTAATATTGTACACAGAAATATACAATATATTGAACTTGTGCTAACTTTCTAGTATATTATAACTCGAGTCAGGGCTTGATATCCTCAAATTGAGCAAGTGTAGAAACTGGTATTCATGGCAGAAATATTTTAAAAACACCTCACAGGAATATATTTGTTTTATATACAATTAACAGCCTTTGATTTACCCTTACAAATCCATTTTCCTCCATCAAGGGTGGTTTTATTTTTGAAAATTGAATAATGTAATAACCTGTAACACTAAATAAATTAACCATACAGTGTTCCAACACACCTACAAAACTATTGTCAATAACTAAAAAAAATACAAGTGAAAGATAAGACAAGTGAAAGATTTATGGTCATGGACAGCCATATCAATTTGATGGTATTTGCCATCAGTTTCTAAATTTGCTTCAGGTAGTATAGCTTTTCATTAAAAGTTTAGGAAATTGGGCAAATGATCATGTGATTTACAACCAGAGGCTAAGAACAACTATCATTTACCATGTAATGTATCATGCATTAAGTGACAGTTAGTTGGGGTTTTTTTTCATTTCTGATAATGTATCTTCCAATAAACGAATCGCTGTTGTTTGAATTTCAAGCCCAGATTATTCTGCCATTTCATGTTTAGTTGAATTTACCTTGATATTGGGGATCACGTGGCTAAGTGGGTAAGACGCTGGCTCGCTAGCCTGGAGGTCGGGTGTTCGATCCCTGCATTGGCCGAGAAAGTTCATCCAGATTTTCCGGCGTGGTTCTCCCTTGTCAGTGATGCAGGACGGAGGGGCTGACAAGGAAAGCTGTCTAGTCGTTCGGATGGGACGAAAAACCGATGTCCCGTGTACACATCGGCGTGCACGTAAAAGATCCCTTGGCAGTTGGAATTCGATATAAGAGTAGACCGTAGTGCCGCTGTCCGGGCAAAATTTCCCTCATAGCACACTGTATGGCGTATGCCCGTCTGCATTAGCCCAGGTTAGGAGCAGAACAGTAGGACGTTAAACCCCATTTCATTTCATTTCATTTCCCTTTGATATTTTCTACTATTTTTGTTCAACAAATACATGTATTTCACACAATTAGGACAATTATATCCAGGTACTATTGTTGATATTACTATACAGTATCCTATTCTTCATCTAAACTATATATCTTCATTGTTGATTCTAGTTCACTAGTAATATCTTCACTAGGTCGTGAAGATGTGGAACCTCTCTCTGATCGAGATCGTGAATTATTGCGAGATTGTTTGTTTAAAGTAGCAGCACATGATGGGTTGTCCCCTACAAAAAAAACATCTCCATTATCTTTATCATACTGTACAGCACGATGATAGACAACTTTTTCACGTTTACGACAGATAATAACGACTATTATTATGACGACCAAGATAAAGAGTAAAGTCAATGACGTGGCAATGATTATTATAATCAGATTAAAATTTTTCGCCTCTTCTAGATGTTTAGATTGGCCATCCCAGTCTTTCTTTTTATTATTTGTTGAAATGTCAGTGGATTGTGTTTTATTGTTAATTCTGTAACCGTCTGCCATCAGTGATGTTTGTGAGCTGTTTATTTTGTCAATGGTATTTAATGATAGTGTAGATAGTGAATCTGAATCATATATTGAAATAGTTGATGTGGATACTTCATTTAATACATCCATTGTTGTTTGGGATTTATTCTTTATACTTCTTTCTTCAGTGATAATTTCTCGAATTATTATTGAAGTGGTGGGAATCAAAGATGCTGGTGTGTATGGAATTGAAGTTTCCATATCATTTTTATGTGTCTTTCTTTTAGTTGGTTGTCTTGTTGTTTTTCTGTGTGTATTGCTGCCTGTTGTTTTTATTGTTGTTGTTGCTTTCCTGTTGAGGCTGGCCTGAGTTACTCGTTCAGTTACAACATTCACGAGGTTAGAGATGTGGAAAACATCAGTAGTTGACATGAATGTAGGAGGGGAGACTGGTGTAGTGACAGCCGCAAATTGGTTTGGTTTCAGATCTAGAATTTTTTTGTTACGTAAATTTCGAGGTGTATAGCAAGTGATACCATCCATCATATAAATCTTCTTAACATTCTGTTTTAACCAGGATTTCATCCATCTTAGACGCCCATCACAATGCCATCTGTTATCATGTAACTTGATTGTTTGAACATTAGACAATTGATTGATGATGTCACTTGTTAACGTTTTCAGATTATTGTCTTTCAGATTTATTTCTGTTAGGTTTCTCATAGAATTTAACATCTCAACAGATTTTAGAATGTTTTTCACCAAACCTTCACTGCTGCCAATATCCAGTATTTTTAATTCTGGAATATTTTTGAAAATATTACCTTGAATGGAAACTTCATTCGATAAAAATGATGCTAGTCTCAATTCATTGAGATATGACAGTCCAAAGAAACAGTTAGTTTGTATTGAGTTGATTCGATTGTTTGAAATGGAAAGTAGTTTCAGATTTTTTAAACCAGAAAACATTTTATTTCCTAATCTGGTGATTTTGTTGGTGTTTATCGACAAGGTTCTAAGTTTTCCTAGATTTTTAAATGTATATGGCAAAAAACTTTGGATACGATTACCATTTAAAACCAGATCAGTCATCATAGAATATTCAGGAAAATCTCTCGGAGCTAATTTACTGATTTTGTTGTTAGAAATTAAAACATTTGTAACCGTTGCTGATAAAGGTGAAGGAAATTTTGTCAGTTTATTGGAATTTAACCACAACTGTAGTAAGTTTTTCTGTGTGCTGAAGGCACCAGGCGCAATACTCACTATTTCATTTTCATCCAATACGATTATTCGTAGATATAGTTTGTTTCTAAAATCTTTTGATTTTATTCTAGTGATGTTATTTTGGTTTAATTGTAAATGTTGTATAGAATCAGGTAGTCCTTTTGGAACACTCTTTAGTTGACAATCAGATAAATCCATGTATAATAATAATTCATTTTTGTAGAACAACCCGTCTGCTTTTTTCAGAGGATTGCCTTTGATTGAGAGGTAAGCCAATTTTATCAGTGACCGGAAAGCATTGCGTTTAATCTGAGTTATCTTGTTGTTGGAGAGAATAAGATCCAGTAAACTAGTAGTGTCACGGAAATCTTCATTTTTAATATTTTGTATTCTGTTTCCATGGAGATCAATTCTATTAATGTTAGTTATGTTCTTAAACCCCTCAGATAAGTTAATTATAAAGTTGTTAGTTAAGTCAATCGATTTAACACTAGGTAAATGCCAAAACACACCTTTTTGTATAGTTGATATAGAATTAGTTCCCAGACCAATAATTTCTAAATATGGTAGATTATTAAATGTTCCAGCTTCGAGTTTTGTTATTTTGTTGAAGTCCAATTGTAGTTTCTTCAGTTGTGTAAAATTCTGGAAAGAGGATTTTGTGACTCTAGATATACTGTTGCTTCGTAAATCCAATATCTCTGTATCCATTGGAATATTGACCGGAAGTGCTGTTAATTTTCTACCATAACAATTTACACTCTTCTCCTGTATAGAACATGAACAGTCTGGTGGACAACAGAACGTTTTACTTATAACACAAACAAGTACTGATAAGATTATAGTCTTCATCTTATATATAGTACAAACTAACATACAATATTACTCATCAACAAAAAGTAAATCTCTCTTGATAAAGTTGAAATTTGAATTAATAAAATCATACGCATGTATTTCTATTTGATTGTTGAATAGTTTCTCCTTGTGTATAACAGTTTACCTCTGGTGAGAACTAGAACTAATAAGTGAGAACTAGCAATTATATGAGAACTGACAAAATTAAGAGGAAATTGTTCAAGTGCTACTACAAAAATTTCCATGTTAAGCACGTTATTTAACCTTTTCAGCCAGACTTGTCAGTGTAAGGAATGTTTTAACGAAAGCATATAGTCGGAAACTCATTAAAATCAAGAGTTCTTTTCCTGTCACATCTATTAAATTATAGTTAAGATTTATATTTCATTTATAGTTTTGGGTAATATTTCATCATTGTTTGAAACTTTCTACATTCAGCGCAATTCAGCCCATGAAAGATATTTAGAGTATGAATATAAATGTGATAAAATCATTACGGATAACATACTACTGTATAACAACTTGCAGGTCATTATGGATACCCTACTTCTATCACAAAATTGCTGGTCTTTCCTAAATGTACAATGCATTGTTTACTGAGATGTAGAACCAAATTGAATTACAATTACAACCAAGACACCCAAAATTAATAGCATAACAATTTCTCTCACCCAAGTACCCGATGGCAGTATCGAGTCCTCCAGTCCAACTGTCATAATCCATCTCCTAAACCTGCCCGATTGTCAGGTTTATATACTACCTGCATGCACGTGCATTGAAGGTAGACAGTTCGGGCGAGCCTTAATATTACAGGTAAATAGTTTGGGCGAGCCAAGCGGCAGAGTTTGGGCGGCCGATAGTGACACTAATGAAATACGACCGTGACAACGTACACATACTTTTATTTCAGAGACTCTGTTAAAATTGGCATGGTCCATTTAAATGCATTTTTATACGCCCACATTGAAATGTGGTCGTATATTGTCATCTTCTCGGTCTGTCGGGCCGGAGGGCCGGTGTTCACACTGGCTTGTGGATGTTCTATGAGCTAAACTTAATATCCGATTGACTTTAAATGTATACGCAGTGTTTAAGGTCATAAGGCGAAAAAGTCTATTGATTTTCAACGATTTCCGATAATTACTGTCAGAGTTATTGCCCTTGATCACTTTGAAATATCTTTTGGACGCACTAGACGCTAAAGTTGATATCTGATTGACTTTAAATTTATACACAATGTTTAAGATATGAGACGAAGAAGCCTACCAATTTCCAACGATTTCCAATGATTATGGCAATTGATATTAAATGTTTTGTATGCTAAATGTTAGAATACGGCAGAACTAGAAGCCAAATGGGTTGTTACTCGTAGCGTGTTGTAAATGTTTTCAGTTCTGACAAAAGAACAAAAATATGCGATAACCCTTGTTGACCCCCGGACGTATATTTCGTTGCCTGGCAACCTATCTTTATAATATGCTCGTTTGTCATTTATTGATGGTTCGTGGTAGCACAATAACACAAGTAGATTTAAAATGGATGTGAACATTGCATATCAAAGGCGCCAAATTTTCCACAAATGCTAACTACATGTACTACCTAAGGCCATAAAAAAAAATGTTTTTGTTTCGAAAGCAATTGGTGTGTAAATTAAAACACGGATATGAGGCACCTTTATTAGTATACGCCCACATGGAAATGTGGACGTATATTGCCGTCGTCCCCATCCGTCCGTCAGTCCGTCCGTCTGTCTGTCCGTCACACTTTTTGGGACACAATAATAACTCTCTTAATAGAGCTAGAATGTTCACACGTGGTGTAGGTGTTTATTAGGTCGATGCCTTGGTGGAGTACGAAGATGCAGAGGCGTAGCCGTGAAATATATATTGGGGGGGGGGGGGGGGGTCAGCAAATGAAATTATATGAAATGTTGATAATCTGTGACGCCGGTGTAGCGCGACAGGGAGAATGTCATTCTGAACATCTAAGACACGTTACCTACGAAGACGTATCTCAGACACAGTCAATAGCCATGATATCCATATCACGTGATCTACACATCACAGGTCATGACATTGACGTCAATGGGTCATGAGGTCAACAACACGTTACATTGTTTCCTTTGCACCCATAAAGACTATATAATTCGTCCAGTCCCAACATGTTCTCTCTTCTTCCAATGATTTTTCACAAAAATAACATCTACAACTCATAGAATTGACGTCGTCTTCAATGACCGCACTGCGAATGATTGTTCATAGAGGCTGCCATCTTGGCACTATTTTGTGCGTCGGTCGTGTCTATTTCCGATATACACAAGTATATTCAGCCCCCCCCCCCCCCATGTGTGACGCCCATGCGAAGATGAGCATTTTCTGCTTAGCCTTAAGCAGAGATAAGCAATTTGATTGAATGATACTTTGGGACACAATAACTTTAGTTCTGATTAAGTGAGAGTGATCAAACGTGGTGTATAGTTTCCATACATCAATACCTTGACTAAGTTCGATAATGAACATTTTCTGCTTAGGGTAAGCAGAGCGATAAGCAATTTGATTGGTCGAGAATTTGGTACACAATAACTCTCCTTCTAACTGAGCAACAATTTTCACACTTGGTGTAGTGGTGTAAGTGTTTATTAGGTGAATGTCTTGATGGAGTTTGAAGATGAGAATTTTCTGCTAAGGGTAAGAAGTGATAAAATTTGATTGGTTGATGCTTTGGGACACGATAACTTTAGTTCTAATTAAGTGAGAGTGATGAAACGTGGTGTATAGTTTCCCCACATCAATACCTTGACTAAGCAATAAGCAATTTGATTGGTCGAGACCTTATAACACAATAATTGTGCTTCTAATTGAGGTAGAATGTCCAAACTTGGAGTCGGCGTTCATTAGGTAAATGCCTTGATGAAATTCTATGATGAACATTGTCTGCTTACTGTAGGCAGTGATAAGCAATTTGATTGGTTGATGCTTTTGGACAGGAGAACTTTGGTTATAATTAAATGAGAGCTATGAAACTCCATAGATTCAAATCATTACCTTGACTAAGTTAAATGAAAATTTTCCGCTTAGGGTAAGGAGCGATAAGCAATTTGATTGGTCAAGACTTCGGAACATAACAACTCTGCTTTTAATTGACGTAGAATGTTTAATGATGTTGATGTTCATTAGGTGAATGTCTTGACTGAGTTCAATGTTTACCCGCTAAAGCTAAGCAGAGCTAAGAAATTTCTTTGACTTTGATTCTATCTGATAGAGAGTGATGAAACTCAGTGTATAGTTGATAATCAGTTTGATTGCTCGATACTTTTGAAAAAGTTAAACGTGCAATTAATTAATATGTGTCATCTATTTATTTTGGGATTTCGGCGGGGGATATCAGTCTCACTGTTTTCTTTTTTTTTACATAGGTTAATTAACTGCCTACCAAACTGGCTGACTATATCGTCCATGTTATTGCGTGGTGTCAGTTGCATATCAAGTGCATATTCATAGAAACGACTTAGGCTACCAGGGTTTTTATCTACTATTTTATCATCAACAGTAAAATCATCCAGCTTAGCTGTCCGAAAGTTAAGATCACCAGCGACAAGTAGAACACCCTTGTCTGTATATTTCATTATTCCAAGACAATAAAAAGATCAGCAAATGTTTTTGTATAGAATATGCTACCATAATCGGGAAAACAACAGGCACACGGGCCGTTTTTACTTTACTAGTTATCTTTATAGCAATCAGAGTTAATCCATACCGATTATTCCTTAAATCAACACCTAATGTGATGACGTGTTCAGTACTTATTGTAATAATTAATCCATACTGTTTATTCCTTAAATCAACACCTAATATAATGTTCAGTAGTCCCACCAACATATCCAATCAGCTGATATACCAATTCTATACAAAAAGAAAAGAAAAGAAAATATAAATGAAATCACCAAGCTTCAGCCTACTCTGCCTTATCAAGTTATCGTTCTGTGTGTAGCTTCTAAATTAACTAGAACTGCGATGCAGTAATGACGGGTTTCACCAGTGCCACGTTACCCTTGAAAATATGTCACTTCCGGTACCAATAAAACCATTAAACAGGTTTCCACATGAGCATTGCACACATCAAATACAATGGACGCAGAATCAACCAAATCCAGCAATATCAATTCATTTTATACATGGGTTACATGTAAGTAATCCTGACAAAATTACAGTACTTCCGGTGATAATGAAAATGTTCAATTTGTAATGGGCTCTGTAATTATTTGTAAAATTTGATAGTTTGGAGTATTCTAAACATATGCGACAGTCTGTGTTTGAAATTTCTGTGAACAGAATTGTATAATAGAAAATGGCCATCTGAGGCTATTTTTAGTTGGTTTGTTGTTGAACAGTATGAACTATGCTCACTAACCAACAACTACACTGTTACTGTTAAACCTTCTTAGCCCGAATGATCACCTACTCATTTGCTAATTTACTCAGTAAGCAACACTTACAGAGAGCTAAACTTTCAACTCAACTCTTTAATGACTTAAAGGAACTAAACCTTTTAAAAAAATTACGTGGTAAACGTGGAAAAAGTAAATTTACTAAGTCGTGTAATAAAACCCTAGCCGTATCTCTACTTAACGCACAATCATGTCGTAATAAAGTGCTGGATATTGCTGACCTTGTCATTGATGAGGGAATTGATGTGATTTTCTTAACGGAAACATGGTTTCGACCGGATTCAGATAAATCCCTCATTTCAGAAGTAACCCCACCTGGGTTTTCTATTAGCCATGTTGAGAGATTGACCGGAAGAGGTGGTGGTTTAGCAGTTTTGTTTAGAGATAGTTTAAAGTTAGAAACATTACAGAATTATGAGTACAAATCTTTTGAGACATTAAATCTAAAACTAAGTTCCTCCAACACTTGTGTTCATATAATATGTCTTTATCGGCCACCACCGTCTATGAAAAACAAGCATACTGAAAATGAATTTGTTGAAGAGTTATCTTTGCTTCTCTCTAAGAATTCAAAACGGAATGTTGTGCTACTTGGTGACTTTAACATTCACTACGACAACCCAAATTCTCCATTTGTCAAAAAAATCGTCAGAATCTTAAAACTGCACGATCTTCAACAGCATGTTCAACAGCCAACTCA